GCCAATAGTGGCAAATATTACAGCTCATCAAAGTAGGTTGTTCCAAACTAGTATATCGAGAATTTCAATAATATGCTAACTTTAAAAATTCGCCGACGATCGCACACTAATCGAATCCACAAATCGCTTAAGTAATCTAGAAGTTCATTTCGAGAACTATATCATATTCATATCCAATGATCCAAATGGATATAAAAAATAGTTAAACGTATGTCTCTAAAAGGGACGTCTAACTCGTCTTTTCTTTAAATTTTTTAATTATTTCATTACGTTCATTATTTTTACACGAAATTTTTTTCAATATAATTTACTTCGTTTTATTAGCAAATTTTACATTGAGTATGATTTAAACAAAATTAGGATCATTATAGATTAAATGTAATTTGAATTTCATTTATTTCCTAGAATTTGAATTTTATTTCAATCCATTTACTTCTTACATTCAATTTGATTTACTCGTTGTCGGCTTGGCATTTGTCAATGAGGTGGTAAACAAAACTATACAAGTAACAAAGTTCATTTGACAACATTGTTAATGATATAATTATAGACATTTTCAAAGTATCAAGATGCGTAGACTACAATTGTAGTAGGGTATTGACTTATTTTAATTAATATTATGTTTTTAAAAAAATTGCATTTTATTTTTTGATCTCACGATACAAAAAAGTCTGAATCCGCCCCGGGATGATTTTACCATTAAAAAATCTAGAAATTTGAGATTCAAATACCTCTTGAATAAAACCAAGTCCCTTGTCCTCTAACATAATATACAAATAAAATAAAATAAAATAAAATGCAAAAAACCATAGCCTTTTGCGACGGTCTGCATGCACCTATATAGTTTGTCCTGGCCGCATTGCATAAACCTTTTATTTTATTGAGGTAAATACATTGTTTCCCACTGTCGAATCGCTTAGAAAACAAAAGTGAATAATGTAGATACAGTAACAAAGATGGAGCCGTATGTAACGGATCGCAAGGTGATGTCCTAAAATTTAACATGGTACAGGGATGTCATCTAAAATGGTGGGGAAATGACTAATATCTATGGTGGCTGGTTCATGTCCAGGTCATGCCTAGAAAATTCGGGTGTGACTGCAGTCACTGCGACACAGGCAGTCATCGTAGGCAGATTGCAGGCAGCTCCCAGGACC